CATAAAGGACATCATAATAGATAATATGCATACAAGAAGTTGTAAGAATATTCCATAATCTAAAGTTCGGGAGATGTAAAACCAAAAGAGACAAATTATGTGCAAAAATGGCTATGGTATTTTAAGGTATCAGGCAAAAATGCCCTCTATTTTCACAAGGTTTTTTATGGTGTCGGTAGGATAACACAAAATATATATTGGCTAAAAGAGGGTTAAAGAATTCAGTTCTGGATCCGTATCCGAGACATGTCTGAATTGATCAAGTTCAAACTTCACATACACATGGTACATCATGTCACAAATAGATATATGGATTTGTTTCATGATCCGCTTAACAATAGCTGAATGATGGCCATTTTAAGGCTGAAAAATGCATCAAAATCACGTATTTTTACAATTCCGGAACTGGATCTCAGTCATGCATGGATGGATTTTGTTCAGATTTAGTACAATGTGTTGTACATATGCAGGTGCATTCCAGATCAGACCACTGAAAGTGGTCTGAGATTTCGGTCATGATCTGCTTTGATTGTATATGTCACTCAAATATGAACGGAACGGGGACGTGTCATTGACAATGACTTGTTTTTGTATGGACGGGGACAGTTTTTGCAGAAAAAAAAGAATCTGAGGTTAAGTGGCTTTCGTCCACTGATGTCACACCTTCGGATCGATTAGAAACGTGTGAATACTTACACTATGACTATACACAACATCTAAAAACTCCCACTCAGAAAAAATATAATAGACAAAAAAAAGAAAAAACTCCGACCTAAAAATGTATATCCTTTAAAAGTATACTGACTGACCAGTGTTATTACGGCTCAGGGGTATGACTTCCTCTCACCTTTCGTCATTTGGTGGCGCACTTTCGGAAATCCGGAAACATTCAACTGTTTCAGGATAGGTGGGCGTGGCTACAACACGAGAAATATCCCAAATTTACTTGGATACGAGTAATCATTTTCAGCAAAAAAATCAATAACTGCCCATTTCAGTGGGACACAGATCTAAAATGGGAAACGTGAGGGTAGGCATTCCACCAGCACTTTAAGGCTGATTGATGCATATTTTCTTTAATACCTCAATTTAGTTATTTCTTGGAACCTTCTTATTTTCTTAATGTGCTTGTTTTAAAGGCGGATCTTGCTGTTCATAAGAAGAAGATAGCAGAAGTAGAGTTATGGCTACAACAGCATATATCTCATACTGCACACATAGTAAGTATAGATATTGTCTCGTGAGTGTGTCAATGTACAGAGTCTCATTCAGGATTTGAAAAAAAAAATATCAGTTTCTGAAATTCCCCATCACTCTGAAACAAGTGCAGGGTGCTGACCGTAAAACCTCTAATTTAGGCAGCATTTTTCGAACATTTCAATCATTCCTGATACCTGAATTAGTCAAATTTCGGTTTTTCATAATGTAATCAAGTTGACGTTATCCACCATTCTGATTTGTTAATTAGTGACTTGACCTATCAGGTCAACTTGTGTCGGGGAAAAACATGGCAAATAACATATCAAATCGAGCGTTTGCATTTGACCGAAAACATTTGTTTACAATAAAACAAGGTTAAGAATTTTACTTGCATTTCATAACCATCCAACGAATTTCAGAGAAATGTTAAAACTAAAATGTTATAAATGTTATGTCCAGGTCCCTCTCGTCTATTAAAGTTAGTTACAGTTACGTCTTGCAAAGCCTTGAATGAAACATGTTGCCACCAGAGATTCACAAAGATTTTAAAATAACAAATGGCATTTTATTAACCCTTATCGTGTCGGCCTCATGTACTTTTACACTGACTTGATCAGATAAGGGTTAAATATGAACTTTGGGAATGTGAACCTCTAGTCTAGAGTTTACATTGGTATTGGTTCAAATTTACATCAGTTGCGAATCCTAACAATTCCTGTTTAACTATTTATTCAGTTTCTAAATAAAACGTTTGAAATGATTTGTACTGTATATTTTTTTGCACACAAAATCATTTCTGTAATTTAATGTTTACTACATCTTTGCATCATTAGTTTGAATTCCTTCATCCATTTGTTATTTAATCTAGATTCTCAATGGGCAAGGTTGTAAAAGTTTACGCTATGTTTTATAAAAAGTTTGACTTTGTTGCAATGCGTGATTACATGTATGTTATATTAAAAACAATATTTTTATCAGGGTCACAAATATCAAGACCATTACAATTTGTTTCTCAAAACAAACCATTTCCTGACCATCCCATGTATATTTTTATCATGCTGATATTGCATGGTATCTGTTCCTTTCTGGGCTATTAATAGTCATTGTATTTCCATATCACCATACCAAATATATTTCTATAGTTCTATGTAAATTCTAGAATGCTGTTTGGTATCATTTATCTCGCAGTTAGAAGCGGAATAGTCACTACTCATCGTGCCGCTCCATTATTTGCCTATGTTGACATGCACTGTTTACCCAAAATGAATATGGTATATTCAATATGTCAAGATCGATGACTTGAAAAGCTAGACTATTTTGCGCTATGGAGCGAATGAATTCACTACGTTCAATTACCCACCATAGACTCCGGTCAGTCAAAATGACTATTTTGAACTGTAGACATTAATCAGCGATTCTGCCGGAGACGGAGAGATAGAATCTAGGTCAGGGGAAGCCCCATGACCTCAAGATTCTTTTACCCCTTACGTCACGAACCCACGTGACCGAGGCCACATGGCAGCGCCATTGGTAGCCATCAATCACGTTTCATTTTTCTCCGCCTCATTGGGGAATGATTCTGAGCGGCTCTGCCTGGCTCTGTTGCTTTTCCTGTCCGGGTTTGTAGTGTGGGTCGTCGCCGCAGCCGCGGCATCCGACATTCTAGCTGGTAGGATAAGTTTTTCTTGTCTTTTTACCCTTGTGTCGTTTTCCCCTTCGTGTGTTATGCTTTTCCATAACAAAGAAAATAAAACCTAGCGCCACAATGTAACCACATGTCGGTTTCATGGCGGCACCTTTTACAACTGTAATTCGTTTCCCTTGTGCATGTTGTCTTTTATTTACAATGTATTTAGCAATATATAGATGTAATGACAGCACCAGGGCTCTCTGCCGTTTTCTTTCCGGTCTCCTCGTGTTTCGAGTTGACTGTGCAGTGGTTATATTCAGAATTTACCAGCATAGAACCCGCATCTGAGATACTTTGTCGTAGCTACATGCGGGGTTCGGGGTTTTTTGCGTGAAGGTGTGTGTTTTTTTCACTGGAGTTCTGAGGCCTGAGATTTTCTTTCAGAGCCATCAAAATCGCTGAGACTGACAGCGCCACAGCAAGGTCGCGCAAATCGGTTAAAGTGAGTTGCGCGTTTTGTATGAGTGGAAAGTCCTCACGCTCGGCTACTGGTACTTCGTGTACCAGGACGTCGAGTAAGAGGCCCGACGGTGGAGGTA